TTGTCAACTACTACACTCACCACAGCATTGACACTTTACCTCAACAGCTCCCGCAGCCACCCATCCTGACCAGCTGTCACCATGTTACTTTCCTTCCTTCTCAGTAAGAAAACTGTCAGGAATCAGAGCCAGAATTCAACTCTAAGATGTCTCCAGAGCTAGAAGGTTTAACCTTTGTGCTTTACTACTTTTTCCTATGGCAAGTAGTTTGATAATGTTTAATACAGTGCATCTTCAAAGTTTGGGTTATAAATTCTGTAAAGGCAGGGAATTAATTTAATTCATGTTTATAAGCCTTATGTATACTCAGTGTAGGACTAGACAACTAGTATACCCTTAATAAGTATTTGGATGAATGAATTAATAAATGATGATATGTATCCAGCAATGAAATTGTTTTCAGGAATTGTAAAATTATGAATCATTGGCTTTAGAATGCCAGAAACAGTTGAAGATTCTCTTTTCTAATTATATGTGATATGAGTTTAAAAATCCAATGAGTTTTAATTGGTGGTTGGGAAAAAATCTCAGGAGCATAATGGATACAAGAGGAAAGATAGAGCGAGAATAATAGTTGAAACTGAATCCATAATCTCAATATGTAGTTAATTGAATTATTACACCATAATTAGAATTAATGTGTAAGAAGAGGACATTGTGATTTAATGGACTGTCACAGATATATATCTGGATGTTCTGGCTCCGGACAAACAGCTCTTTCACTTTTTCCTCAAAGCTGCTGACCAAATAGATCAGTAATTCTTAACCTAATTTTATGGCATGACAAGTACATTCACTGACCCCCAAGTGAACAGTGTTCAGTGGAAAGATCGTAATTCCACATTTCCTCTGCTCAGCAAAGTATATCAGAAAGCTAGCAGTAAGAGTGATAATATTTTAATTCTATTCAAATTCAGGGAGAAATCTTGGGAAGAGTTTACAAATCTTGGGAGATGGTGAATTTAGGTGTTTGTGAAGTTCTCATTCAAAAACAAAATCATCTACTTGTACATTACTTTAGAGTTTCTTTACAGCTAGGAAAACACTCAGCTTGCTCTCCTGCCTCATGTTATAGTTGAGAATTGGAAGCAGAGAAAAGTCACATGATTTCAACCTCTAAGGTCACATTATACACAATGAGGTTATATGACCTTCCAGTAAGACATGACAGTGTCTATGTTGGGCTTCTGCTAAAACCATTTTAAAGCCCAGGGATAATCTGCTGTGTTCTAAGAAGCTGGCAAGCAAAGTGGTGCTGCTGCCCAAAAGCTTGGTGCATTTCTGTTGGTTGACACTAACTCTTAGATTTTGGACGACTTTTCCTCAACGATGGAATTTAATCAAGGGAGAGCAGCACACAGACTAAAGACCTAAAGACATGAAAATTTGTATTGTATTAAATTACTGTGTCATTTCACCTAGAGTTTCATCCTAAAATAGATGTCAAGGCTTGGTTAGTAATTTCAGAATAATTGATTCCTATTAGTGGTGAAATAAAACAGATTCTAAACACTCTATGGTTGAAAGCTGGGCTTTATAAGTCTTGATTTTTCATATTACTAGAACAGTTAAACACAATGGGGGCTAACACTTGTTAAAATCAGACTGTAAGATTAAGTCTTCCATTGGAGCATGAAATATGTAATTCTTTCAACAATACCAGGAGGCAAGTATTTCTGTTGACACTTTGGAGATGGAGAAGTGGAAGCTCCATAGTAATTTCCCAAATTGCCATATCTCACAAGTACATTGGATGAAAGTGAGGGTCTGAATGGGAAGCATAAAAAGGAAGAAATTCTGCCTTTCTGGAAGGGCTAAGAGATCCCAGGTGTCAGTAAGAAGGTACTTCTGCAACGGAGAATGGATTTCAAAGTCAGACAGACCCATGTTAGAATCACTTATGACCTGTGTGACCTTTGAGAACATAATTCAAATATTTATTACAGTACTTGGTATACATTATATAATAATAAATGACATCAGTAATAAACACTGTAATTATTTTTACTACCTCAAAGAGCTAAGACACAATCCTGTGACTGTTTGGTTCTAAAACCTGCACATTTTTTGAATTATATATATACTCCCACATAGGTTCTCCCTATAAATTTATCGCAGCTCTATTCTCAATGAATGTATCTAGGTCTGTAACCCCAATAGAGTAGAGTGCTAGAGGTCAGAATATGATTTCCCTCACTACCAATAGTTTTTAATAGTGTGGTGAGGAGTGAATCCTATTGATTCCTGTAAAGACTGTATTTTAAAAAGTGGATCTCAGTTAGGGACTTGAAAGATGTCTCTTTGTTTATCTTTCTGCTTTCACTATTGTAGGTAGTTGTAAGTCCGTAGCAAGATACATTAATGAATGAATTTGCAGGAGCTTATTGTGCCGCTGATTTTTTTGCTTCCTGTTGAGAAGTTTGCAGTTCCATATTTGTCTCTGTGAGTAGTAAAACTTTCATACTTTCGCTTACAATCTTTTGAGCTTTTTGAGGTGAACATCCATTGGGTTTATAGGCTATGGAGACCTATGATTTGAGTCTTCCATAAAGCAAAGCTAATTTCCTTTTCAAATTGATACTGGGTGGTGTGCACTTAGATTTAGTAGGGTGGAGTCCTTACTTGTATTCTATATTTGATTCTATCCAAAAAAATTCTCAAACCTGGAGATAGTGGAGAACTTTAAGATTCTATGTTTAATTTTGGGCTAATGGTGATTGGAATAATTGCTTGGAGGAAAATAAACAAGATTATTGTATAGTGATGAAGAGGCGAGGCTTTAGAATCAGACAGACCTAAACTCTAATTCCGACTCTGCTACTTAGAAGCTAGGTCACCTTGAGAAATTAAGTTAACCCATGGGAATGTCAGTTTTCTCCTCTGCAAATGGAAATAAAGTGGTATCAAGTTAGCATGAAGATTCAATGAAAAATTACTTGTAAAATGCTTCTATAATGCACAGCAGAAGATAGCTTCTCTGTAATTAGAAGCTATTGTTATTATGAGTTAAAGAGAAGATTATGTGCAAATTACAATTCAGTATACATAACCCCTCTAAAATGAATGAAGTCCCATCTGTAAGGATAAAAGTTGGGCCTTCAAGCAAGTGCTAGATTAGTTTGTCTTAGCCTAAGCCTGTAGAAGCTTTTGGCCTTGGGAGTGTTTTCATAGATAGTGCAACTAACCTTACTGTTTGTTGGGACTAAGAGGTTTTCTGAATGTGGGACTTCTAATGCCAACATGGTTAAAGGTTTGAGATGAATATACTATTTATCATAGATGCTTTTCAACTTTGCTGGGTTTTGCTATCTTGCCTTTTCTATACTGTAGTTCTATCACCCAACTTCAGAATTTTCCTTGGCATTAAGGCAAGGCAACTTCTTTTCCCCTCTTTATTTGATTTTTGAAATACTAACTGGTTGCTTCAGAATTTACCCAGAAGTGTTCTGGTATCTAATTATAATCACACGCATTTAAATGTACATATGTGACTAACTGCTACTATTATCCTTGTTGATGCTCAAGGTTTCATCTTTGGCCAGTAGTAAATTTTCTAGTTTGGTTCCTTAGCCCTTCTGACATTATCCTTGCATTCTGACCATTTCCAATTACAAGATGGAGAATTTATGCCTGGCTGCTCTCAGGATCCCTGCTTCTTGGAAAACAGTTGGATAGTATGATAGGTCATTACCACTGATTGATTTGTTGTTTCTAGGCCTTTACAGGGGCCCAGGGAATATAAATTTTTAATTTGTAGAGAAAAAAATATTTCATAGGCTTATCCTAATTCTTTCAACTTGCATTTAAAATTAGAGTGGTTTTATTTAATCTTACCAATTTTATATCTGTACAATTTCATCCTTGATGAAAATCCAGATACTTAGTGACAACACTGTAACAACTAGTGTACTTTATCCCACACTACACACAGATCATCCTCAGAATGCCAATTCCAGCACTATGCCAATAACATGATAAATACAAACAATTTGAAATGATTCTATTCTTTGCTTATATCTCACTAAGAATCAACAGTTAAGTTATGATGGTTTCAAGTACATTAAATTATTCCTCTTTGGTAATTTTTCCATCCTTCACTTCCCTCCCCATTCCTTCCAACTCTTGGTCTCCTTTCCATTGGCAAAGGCTCCATTTTTATCATTGTTTAAAGAATTAAGATGTGTTATGTATGTGTACCATCTTCGCATGATAGCTGTGATTTTATGTACTGTAGACACATACTAATAAAAATGTTAAACAATAAGAATTCCATAATCAAGTCTTGTTTCTTCCATCCTCTTCCTTTTCTCTTTTGCAGATCTCTTAAAAAGTGTGTTTAAAAATTTTTGAATGTAGACATGCACATACACATGTGAGCCTGCAATTATGTGAAGTGTTTTATGATACAATTTTTAAATATACCGAATCTCTCTTATTGTATGGTTTCTCTTTACTTTTGGAAAGTTTGTATTTTTGTTCCGGTGGAAACTTTTATACTAATAACTTTCTGTAGTACTCTTTGTCCTTTCTCTTCTTGGTCTGCTTTTATTGGCCCTCAACTAGAAACAATACTGAAATTAGCTAGTATCCCTTCCTTTCCACACTCTGCCTATGTCGAGTATTGTTTAGAAGTAGTAATTGTTCATTTCTAGTTAGCATGTGAGAGATTATTAATGGCCTCAATCTATTTTTCAAATACTCTCTGTGTTCCATGTCAGGTTTTGGCTTTATCTACACTGCAAGAGCCTATATCCAATGTCGGTCTCCTTTACGATCAACCTTGAAACTTAGTTTTACAGCTAAATATATATTTATGCTTATCTTTAGAGTTCATGTCCACTTCTTTGCAATCATTTTGATGTCTGAATATCAGTCTCTCAGAATTTCTTGAGGAAATATTTGCAGAAATATTATAAGAATTACAAATCCATAGGATTCTGTATCTTCATGCTTGAATTATTTTACCATATATAAAATACAATTATTACTGAAAGTCTTACCTTCACTAGGTCTTGTCATCTGACAACCGTGCCATTGGGAAATGTAATGACTTCCTGATTCTTGGCCCAGTGTAGGTGATGCACCCCTCCCTGGAGACCTGTAGGGTCTACTTTTTATTACTAATGTTCTAGAATTTCACACTGAGGGTGTGCCCTGGTGTAGGTCTTTTGTTATTTGTTATCCTGAGCACTCAGAGTGGGTATCCTTTCAACATAGAAACTTGTCTTCTTCCTAAGGGTGTGTGTGTGTGTGTGTGTGTGTGTGTGTGTGTGTGTGTGTGTGTGTGTAATGGAGAGATTGATTCTTACAAATGCTGACATTTGCACAATCTTCTTACACAATCTTCTTGTTTTCTGTGACATCACTTGTATCTGGTCATTCTAAGCCTTAAGACTTTGTATGTTTCAGTGAAAAATTAACCTTTTAATATCTACTTTTCATTCTTCATCCTTTTAAACTGTGATAGTTCTCCTGCTCCTACTGCCTCTTGTTCTTTATGCTTTCAGACATTATGAACATACAGTTTTTGATTCGTTTACTATCATTTCAAGGGTTATGGGAGAGGGGATAGCTAACAGTATGTGGTCAATCCTCCATCCCTTGTTGGAAGACTTGGGGTTCTTTGGATTTATTTTGAAAGCCACAGGGAGCCAAACTCTTGATTGATTTTTATAGGGATGAAATCATTTTCAGTTACATCAGCTGTAATCTGGAAGAAAAAGCAAACAGAGTACAACTTTTTATCAATTGTTAGAATATAGATGTGAGTTGGATTTCAGAAAAAGTGAGGGAGAGGGCAGGAGGGATTGTAAATATGATTGTAGGAAATGATGTGTGGTGACGGCCTCACTGGGGGAAATTAAGTCTCTACTGTACTGTCAGGCAGCAGTTTCCCACCACTGTCTAAAAACCAAGCTTGTTTCTTAATTTGGATTTAGTGTGTTGGCTATTTATGTCAGGTACATAGCAATTGATGGTTCCATTGTAGAATATGGATTGCATTTAATGACTATGAATGTGTAGTCTCTGGCTCCATGGGAAAATAAATAAGGGTAATTCAGTTCAGTCTTGTTCTATTGTGTCCCCGGTGGTTTTCCACTTTCACAGCCTGTGGAGTTACTTTAGGGAGTAGATTTCATAAAGTGCAATGCAACAGACTCTTTCTCCTGTCTTTGTTCTTTGCCTTCTCCACTCCTCTCTGATAAAACTGCATCAAGGCTTGGTGTTGAGTGAAGCGTATTGAGGCAGGGATGGAGCAGTGATGGGAGCCTGTTTTGCTTGAATAACAATTTTCATGTTTGGCTTTTTTCCAGTTAAGCACTCCACATCGGAGGGCATAGGCTTTTTATCCATGGCAACTAGGAATTCTTACAGCATGAGAGCCCATGTATTTTGGAGCTGAGTAAAAGAGGCTTGGGGTGCATGGTATATGTAAGAATAATTTAAGGTTGGTAGACCTTTAATGGGGATTTATTTTTTCACTATATAACAATTAATGTTAAGCAGATGGGTTTTGCTATTTTCAAATTGTTACTGATCTAGGCTTTTGGTGGCATGTGCTTTGTAGAGAGAGTTTAAGCTTTTGATAGAGGTTGATTCTTCAGTAGTTCGGCTTCTGATGAAGATTTTAGTAAATATATTAAAAGGTTAAATATAAACTCATAATGATAAAGAGAATAAAGTGTTATGACAGTGAAACAATAGCCCTGAAATAAATGTCACAAGGCAGAAGACTAGAAGGCAGAAGGGGCAGGTGGGAACCATAGCTGCAGTGCACACAGAAGGAAAAGTGGGTGCAAAAAGAGCCAATTTTTCACTGAAACCTGGAAAGTCTGAAGGTTTACAGTCGCCAGATACAAATGGTCTTACTAGAGTCATAGGTCTGGAAGAAAGTTTGGTTAAATGTCAGCGTTTGAAATAGCCAATTTCCTCTCACTCCCCAGCCTTTGTACATGGACTTACACGTACCAAGATGTATCCTACCAATATATTAGGTAATTTAGTCCTTATGAGAAAGTTTACCATCATTATCAATTCAATTTTACATATGAGGGCAGAGATTCTGAGATTAATAACTTGTCCAGCATTGTAGGAGCTGAGCTTAGAAGTCATGAGCTCAGTCTGTAGAACTTGTCCTAAGAATTAGGTATACCACCTCTCTAGCTTCTAAAGATGGTAATTATTTTTATTAAATATTGGGTGAATGTCCATACCGTCTAGCCTATGATTTTTTAAAATTTGACTCTAATCATGTTTCATTGTGCTACCCTCACAGAGGTTTTGGCTTGACAAACCTCCCTTTTTTTCTATTTTATAGTGGGTGCAAAAAAGATGGGAGCATGTACTTATGCATTAAAATTAATAATACAAGTGCATATGTGTGAATCTATTACCAACTGATTACTGGAAATAATAAGTTCTTGATACACATTCTTGTCAGTGAAAAATAACCACACAATGCTGAGAAATGAATAGACAGCAGCGTAAGGCTGCTGATGGTGTTGTAGGGAGGTGACGTGCAGCAAAAATTATGCCCAAGGGGAGGTGAAGAACTCAATAACTTTCAGTAAAGGGCATCTGCCTCTTGGCCCTTGATCTTCGCACTTATATTGAGTTTGATTATTTATAACAGATGTCTTAACACCGTTCTGCAGTGCATCCCTCGGGCTTTGGGATGGGTCCTAGTGGCCTGTTAGGATGGGGGAGTTGAACACAAAGAACTATTTTTCCTTTCTTCAATCCTAGATTCACTAGGGAAGTTTCACGTTTATTAACTGATATGTTGAGATTATGTGCAAGGATTCTCTATGATGAAAGGGTTCTATTGCCAAAATAGTTCAAAGCCAGTAAAATAATATGTTTTCTAGTTTTAAAATGTTACAGGTTTGTGTTAACCACACTGTTTTGGAAAAGTTCAGGTGGACTGCCACTTTCCCTCACCACCACAAATACACTTGTAGAGTGACTCTCCTCTGTCTGTTGGCAAGGCTTTTTTCCATCATTAAAAATAATAAAGTTGACATAATTATGAAAGAACTGTTCTCATGGTAAATATATCGGTGCTTTTACTTCATTATTTCATTTCTACATTTCTACACATCAGTGAAGGAACTTGCTCAGATGTTGCGTGGTTACTAGTATCCTTTTTAGACAGAGAACTAAAAATAGGTGAAATTGCTTTCCCATATTTATATTTCTAATGAATCGTGACGCCTGAATTGCATCAGCAGGCTGCATTTGTTTACAGTGGCTTTTTCACATCCATGGCTTCTTTTCTTTTTCAGGTTGGTCAGCCATGGAAAGATTTTTATTTTTAAAAAGAGTCACAGAAGTACTTATAGGTAGAGCTTCCCAGTTGTGTGCATGAAAAGCAAACACTTAGCCAAAAATTTGGAACCAGCAATTCTTGGTAGAAGTGGATACATACACCTAATGTATGTACAACTTCATTTATTTTACTTCTGTCCATATTCTGGGCTGGCCAAACACACTTGTGTTAATAAATTAGATGCCTGTATAGGGCTGCCAAAAATGAGTGAGCGTGTTTTGCAGGTTGTGAATTGTATTTTCACTCAAAATTAATAATAAGACTTTTAAGAAAGTTCATACATGATTGCAGTATATAATGAATACATTCATCATCAGAAGTTGCTACATATATACAGGTTATATCCTAATCCTTTCCCTTCCCTCCTGCTTTCCCTCTATCTCTAGATTCCCTTCCCCTTTCATCTGCCAAAGGTTACCTCTTTGTTGCCTGTAATCTATCTTTTATTTTGCTCTTTGAATTATTTATACTTTGGATTTCTCATGTAAGAGAAGCCATACAATACTTAACTTTCCGTGTCTGATTCATTTTCACTTGGTGTTAAGTTCTCAAGGGGCATCTGTTTTCCTACAAATGACTCACATTTTATTCTTTATGGTGGAGCAGCCATGGTTTCTTCTCAGTGTGCCCTGTGTTTTGTGCTGCTCCTGGTTCTGCCAAAGTTCAAGTACCTGTCTATTGATGATAAATGGGCTATTATTTACCTCATTTCTTATCACTTCCAGTTTTTCATGTCATGTACCTGAACAATCAAATACTTAATGTTTTCTGAAACTTGCCTGATTGTGTCACATCTTTGTTGTGCTCATCTGTTTTTGAGACTATAATGAAATATTGGAGGCTGGTCACTTTGTAAAGAAAGGAGGTTTATTTAGCTTACAGTGCTCGGCGTTGAGAGCATGGTGTCAGCCTCAGCGTGGCTCTGATGAAGGCCTCATGACAGATGGCACCACCATGGTGTGACCATGCTGGAGAAAGAGGTCACCACCCTGGATGGGAAGCCAGAGAGTGACTCAGGGAACAGCTTTCCTTTGATAGCAATTCACTCTATAAAAACTAACTCAGGGTCCCTGAGAACTACTTTCATCTCTTCCAAGTACTGTGTGCCCAGTAACATAAGGCCTTTACCTCTTAAAGGCTTCATGGTCTCCCAGCACCACTGCACTGAGGACCAAGTTCTGAACACAGAAACTTTGGGAGACAAACTCAAACCCCATCCAAGCCAGGGCCCCTGTAATATCATATCTATTGTGCTTTTTTTTTTTTCTGAAATCCCCGTCCTCTTACCACCTCATCTGCCTGGAAAGCTTCCATGTACCCTTCAAAGACCTGTACAATCATCTTGTTCTTAAAGAAGGGCATTTCTCAACTTTTATACATAAAATGCATTGTAGTTAATCGGTTATTTTTCTGCCTTTCCTACTATACTGTGGCTGCCTAAAGCGCTTGTGCTGTCATCTCTATTCCTAGATCTTGGAATTCACTATGTGTTCAAGAAGTCTCTACTGGTTAATATAAAATTATAAATTATAAAATTCCATAAGAAATTCACATAATCTCATGGTTTTAAACACTAGGTTCATGTTGGCAACATCCAAATTTATCCATCTTTTCTCTTAAACTACACATTAATATGTTCATGTGCTTACTTAACATTTGAATTTAAGATGCTAGACAGATATTCCACATTTACTATGTCTGAAATTGAACTTATAATCTATTCTTTACTACAGTGACCACCTGCTAGCGTGCCTAGGGTTAGGGAG